AAATGAATCACTGTGGCTGTTAAGTGAGTCACATGGTTGTTAAGTGAATCTGGCTTCCCCACTGACTTTGCTTGTCGGAAGATCACAAAAGGGGAACACTGCGACCGTCATAAATATGAGTCAGTTGCCAAGCCTCTGAATTTTGATCACAGGATCATGGGGAATGCTGCAAAGGTCGTAACTGTGAAGCACGATCATAAGTCACATTTTTCCATGCCGTCCTAACTTTGAATGGTCACTAAATGAACTGTTTGTAAGTCGAGAACTACCCATACTACCACTGCCACCAGCTGCATCACCAGAGTTTCAATAGGAGAGGGCGCTCTCCACACAGGTGCTACGGGCTTGCTGTGGACTATGGGACTTGGAATCTACCCTTTTAAAGACCCGAGGGGCATTTGCAAAACGGGGCTTTGTTTGAAGGAGCAATGCAAATTTTGGAATAAGGAGCAGGTTTCCTACGGAGATGCATGGAAAGCAGGGCAGCGTAATTCTTTATTTTATTTTATGTTATTTATCTTGTCAAGCAAGTATTAGATAACAGGTATATCCGCATACAGACAGGAGGTTGTTCAACTTGCCTCGTGGTATAACCGGAACTATCTGGAACTGAACACACTCAAAACTGTAGAAATGGTGGTAGACTTTAGGAGAAACCCTCCTCCCATTACTACCACCTCTTACAATACTAGACAACACAGTATCGAGAGACCTTCCAATTTCTAGGTTGTATCATATCACAAGACCTAAAATGGACACCTCACATCAAAAACGTCATCAAAAAAGCACAACAAAGAATGTTCTTTCTGCGCCAACTCAGGAAGCTCAAACTGCCCAAGGAGCTGCTGATCCAGTTCTACAGAGGAATTATTGAGTCTGTCATCTGCACCTCTATAACTGTCTGGTTTGGTTCTGCAACCCAACAGGACAGACACAGACTTCAGAGGATTATTAGAACTGCAGAAAAAAACAATTACTACCCACCTCCCTTCAATCAAGGACTTGTATCCTGCACGAGTCAAAAAGAGGCCTATGAAAATATTTACAGACCTCTCACATCCCTGACATAAACTGTTTCAATTCCTTCCTTCAAAACGACGCTATAGAGCACTGCACACTGGAACAACTAGACAGAAGGACTGAACGCCATCACTCTGCTAAACAAATAATTCCCTCAACACTGTCCAACTCTTTACAAAGTCTGTACTACTATCACTATTAATCTTCTCATCATTCCTTATCACCCCTCCCCTCCCACTTGTGACTGTATGACTGTAACTTTGTCGCTTGTATCCTTACGATTTATATTGACTGTTTCCTAGTAGGATTTGATTGCTTATTATTAATATTATTATTATTATTATTAAGTGATGCACTTTATGATTCTTGACTCTTGATGAATGTATCTTTTCTTTTATATACACTGAGAGCATTTGCACTAAGACAAATTCCTTGTGCGTCCAATCACACTTGGCCAATAAAGAATTCTATTCTATTCTATTCTATTCTATTCTATTCTTATTGTACCTTATAACTAAGTGTTGCACCTTATGATTCTTTACTCTTGACGAATGTATCTTCTCTTTTATGTACACTGAGAGCATTTG